ACATCCATTATTGGTAATCATTTGTTATTATTAATCTTTGAGCCAATGCATCCTTTTTAATCCAATCCTTTCAAGCTGCATTATATGTTTCTTCGGCATTTGGAATCAATATATATTTGGCTTTAAAAAATATTGTAAATAATAAAAGTTCTATAGAACTTCCTCATGCCATAATTTATTTTATCCTTTATCCTTTAGTTTTTCAATTGTTAAAGAATCATCATTGCTTGCCATTTTAATGCATCTTCTTTTTCCACTGAATTTTGTTTTTCTGTCTTTTATCGATTTATTTCTTTTAATCTGGCCCATAGCCTGTTAAAACGGACTTTCAACGAAACTTTTAACATTATATTTTTAACTGTCAAAGACAACAACAATCTATATTGTTAATTTTACTACCCTTAGGTACATAAACAAACATAAAAGTTTTAGGCTTTCCTATATTTAATTATTTAATTTAATTAACATACCTAAATCATATTTCTATTACCCTTCGGCCAGCATATATCGGTCATCGTCGAATTTTTATCAAATAAGTATTTAAATAACAAATGTGCTAGAAATCTTGTTGGTATTAATAGTTTCAGTAAAATTCCTGCTGTAATAACAAAATTCTCGAAGCTCACAGATTCTAATCTTTGTATTTATTTTTAACAGTAGTGTTAAAACTTTTAATTATAAAAATAATATACTTTTACCACTAGTGACATTTTAGACACTGACAATAGTAATTTACGTTACAAGGCCGGGAAATGGCTTATTAAAGTACGAGTCTAGATGTTTTCGGACGAGGCGACGAAGGAGCCGAGTCTGGAATTTCTATACAAGTACTTTAATGACATTTCACGGCCGTGTATCGTACAATGTTTTATTTCATACTGTTCAATATTTTTATCAAATTTTTGGTAATTGAACTGTATATTCAGGTGAAGGTGTCAGTAATGTGTCAGTACATGATGGTATCAGTATTGTCTAAACAAACTATAAAATGTAGCACCAGTAACATAGGGTGATAATGTAGTATGCTTTGAATCGGTTGCTAACAGTTTTTTTATTGATTGTCTTGTTTGTCAATTTAGCATCGTTTTGAATAATTTCGAATAAAATGGATGCAGAGATTTTGAAAAAAGTTCTGAAGCGACGGCGAAACTTATCCCGGTCAAGTCTTCCGGGCGATATCAAAAGGAATACGAGATATTCTGTGAATGGCGCAAAACTTATAATGTGTTAGTTAAAATATACCAGTCCGGTAAAGTTGTTTTACCGGCCTAGTGATGTAAGGAATCATTTTCCGGACTCAAATGAGTCCGGGAAATGGCACATTAAAGTACAGTATGAAATAATAAACTTTAAAAATCTAATTTTAATAGTGATTGTAGGTAATTAGTATATTATTATACGAGAGATAATGCAGGCTATTATTCAAGAGGATAAGGTTTGCGTCTCGAGTCGCCAGACGAGAGACCTAAATTAACCGCGTGAATAATCTAGAGTGTAATACTATACTTTATCTACTCCAAGTAGTTTATTAAATGAGTTTCAAAAATAAATAAATAAAATCTGACATCTGTCAAATGGTTAACCTCACCTTTTAGTAATTTTAAATGCTATTATAGTCGCCTTCTCCCAATTTAAAACCCGATTGGTTCAAACCACAGTGAATATTAAAATTAGCCAATCACTGATGCCTAACAACGTGAATAATGACTTGACATTATTCACGTTGTTAGGCAGGGAATTAATAACCTATTAATATGCAATTAAACCTAATAATATGCAATAGGAGTAGATAAAATAATGTAAAATACTTAAAAGTAGTATTATAATTCTATAATTACTTATGTTTTGATATTTTTTTAGGAATAGAGCCTACTATCTTCAAAACTGCAAGTGTTTAAAATCTTGTAACATATCGGTTTATACAACTTACATAATGAATAGTCGTGATATATATTTAAATCACAAATCAAACAGCATTATTATGCTATATTATGATACCAATGTAATTGAAGTTATGTCAAAAGTAATTACGTATGATTGGAGTATATTTTTATCAGACATTGGAGGGTCTTTGGGATTTCTTCTTGGTTTATCTGTAATTGGAGTCATAGCAGCACTGGAAGAAATATTTAAAATCTCAATTAACAGGTATTTTAAAACTAAAATTATCCGTCCAGAAAGTCCTAAAATAGAAGACACCAAAAATAATTTAAATAATTATAAACAAATTATGGATTCTTTAAAAGAAAGTAATTTTTCCAGCAACAATTTTATCAATAGAAATTTAGGTGAACATTTTTAAAATAACGTTGGTCGAATATGTACTTATAAAATATAAAAAAAAATTAAATTTTCTCGACCCAACTAAACAACAAGTTTATTGGAATTTTTATGCAATCTGTTTCTAGAATCATATTATAAGTATTTAAAAGTATTGGTATTGTATCATAAAATTATTTAATAAATATTGATAATATTATTTTCTTTTTATTTAGACAAGTCAATTTTCATAGGCACCAAATCTTCATGAATAATTCTTTTTAAAAATGATTTTAAACCATCATTAAAGTAAAGTTTTTACAAATTGTATCTAAATGTATACCAGGTATACTATACCTACAATACAAATAATTCTTATGGTATTAAAAAAATTTTGTGAAAGGAGAAATAAAGCTAATATTAGTGGAGAGTTCAACTCTGAGAGTTGTCCATCTTTCTACCGTATGAAGGTGTTTGTTAACATTGTCCAAAAATGTTCTGGTCATAAGTGGGATCGAATGTATGACAGCGTCTGACGGTTTTGCAAACAGGAACTAGTCACGTGAAATTTGACCAATGCATTTTCAGGTTGACAAAATCGTGTTTTAGTTACTGAACAAATAAACCCATTTTATGAACAACCTATATCCCAAAACCCAATTTTTGGGACCAAATATTCGAAAAATTATTTTTTTTTCAATTTTTTGATAATATTTAAAATTTCTTGGTACTTCTTCTGGCAAAAATGTTGTAAAGTATACTAAAAGAAGTAATTTATAAAATACGCACACAAAACTGAACTTTAAGTTTACTTATTTGCTGGAAAACAATTTTTAAACAAGATTTTCCAAAATATTCATCTTTTCATACTCAACACCAAATTTTTTGCCAAAATCTTTGGAAAATCTGTAGGAAAAATTTTTTTGAATAGATAAAATAGATTTGTAGAAAAGTACAGAGAGTTTGATTTTATATTTTGTATTAATTTTATTATTAAAAAACTATTTTATATCAAAACATTGAGTAATCTGATTCATTGCTGGAGAATTCCATCCCTTCCACTTCTTCTCCTTTATTTTCTTGTTCTTCATTTTCATTTTTTGATTCATCACTGGAGAATTCCATCCCTTCATTTCATATATTTTTTATATTCATTTCATTTCAGGCGTTTTAAATGGTCCTGATATTCGGAAATTGGTAAAGTATGAAGACTTTGACAGAGAGAAATCATCATTGGACTTTTAGGCAAACATCGTTCTCCCAATTATGAAGGATGCGACGAATGTTGGATGTTTTTTCCAAAATTGGAGTCAATATGTCGCTAAAAATTCATTTCCCTTATCGCCATTTGGACTACTTCAGTCGACAGTTATCGACACAATCATCAAACTGCGATGCCATTTGAGTCCAGATAAAGAGGAAAACGAGCTCCAGATGCCATACTAGCCGAAACATTTTGGTGAAGAAAACATATTTTTGACTACGATCAGAAAGAAAATGAAAATGAAGAACAAGAAAATAAAGGAGAAGAAGTGGAAGGGATTAAATTCTCCAGTGATGAATCAAAAAATGAATTCAATGTTTTGATATAAAAAAGTTTTTTAATAATAAAATTAATACAAAATAAAAAATCAAACTCTCTGTACTTTTCTACAATTCTATTTTATCTATTCAATTTTTTCCTACAGATTTTTCGGCAAAATATTTGGAGTTGAGTGTGAAAAGATGAATATTTTGGAAAATCTTGTTTAAACATTATTTTCCAGCAAATAAGCAAACTTAAAGTTCAGTTTTGTGTGCGTATTTTATAAATTACTTCTTTTAGTATACTTTACAACATTTTTGCCAGAAGAAGTAGCAAGAAATTTTAAATATTATCAAAAAAATTAAAAAAAAAATATTTTCGAAAATTTGGTCCCAAAAATTGGGTTTTTGGGATAAAGGTTGTTCACAAAATGGGTTTATTTGTTCAGTATCTACATTTCTACAAAAGTCGAATATATACGAAAAAAATCGATTTATAGGTCTAAATTGGGGTATGTAAAGCTCGAAAATACAAACGGCCATAAAAAAATAAATCGACCTAACTTTTACAAACCCAGCGAGGGTTTTGCTATTGGATAGGTATATTTTCCGAAAAAAATGGTCCGGTGCGGTTTGATTTCGATGACCCGAAAATTGTCGCACAGTGTTATTTGTTATATAATATTTTGGCATCAAAATTGTCAAAAATATTCTTCTTTTATTAGGTTATACATTAAATAAAAAAAAACGCAAGAAATATTTTATGAAAGTAGATATAATTTTAATAATTGAAAGGTGTGGACGGCACAAAAAAAAGATTTATCTTGTCCCGTCCACCCCTGTCAATTATTGAAATTATCTCCACTTTTATAAAATATTTCTTGCGATTTTTTTTATTTAATGTATAGCCTAATAATAGAAGAATATATTTGACAATTTTGATGCAAATATAATATATAATAAATTACCTACAATTTTTTTTATAAAAACAGTTTTGTGATTTGTCCCGTCCCTCCGCTTGAAATGGCCGACATGTATGTTTTATAGTTGTAATTTGTAAAATTTGTTTATTGTTTATTCGTTTTACTGCATTTAAGTACGACACTGATATAAAAAGGGGGTCAAAGGATCGGTTAATAGTTTATCTAATTTAAACAATATAAACAGTACATTTTTTATATATAATTAATAAATAAATCCAATTATTTAGTTTATATTTATGTTTAGTGGCAGTAATATCTCTAGGTAAATTTTTTAATTTATGTCTTTAAATTAAAAAAAAAGATCACTAAAGTCTCTTTTCTAATGTTCTGTCTACTCATTTTTTTTCATTTGGTCCAACGACAGTTGAAATATATTATATAAAATATTGTTTGTCCAATTCAATACATATTTTGCTTTAAAATTTAAATTAAACGCATTTAAAGTTGGCTTGACTTTGATGTATTTGTGTACAAATATTGGTTGTCCAATCAAAGACATATTTTTCTTTAAAATTTAAATTAAAACACAGTTGAAGTTGGCTTGACTTTGATGTATTTGAGTTCAAATATTGTTTGTCCAATTAATGACATATTTTGCTTTAAAATTTAAATTAAAATGTAGTTAAAGTCGGCTTGACTTTGATGTATGGAACTATAAATACCTACAATTAATAAAGACCGGATTATAGGCAAAATGTTTATCATTGATTTTGATAGGCCATTCAAATCCTGCAAAATGTGTTTTGGACATTTTATTGCAATTTAACTGATCATTTTTGTAATTTTTTTAAATTACATAATTCCTTTTTATAACTTGACCGTATTTTTTAAATCGATTTTTTTAATGCACGCATAAAATAGTAAGGTAAATCACACCAAAGTAGTAAGCAGACACATCCTAGTCTATAATGGCCACTTGCACCGTAAGTTTAACAGTGGTTTAATGTTTAACACAGGTTTATTTTTCATAACTGGCTTGCACCGTGAATTAATCCTTGTTTAAATACCTCTAAACTACTGTTAATATAAACCCTCAATTTCGGGGGTTTAAATTACTTTAATCCACCGTTAACGACTTATAACCTCAAAAGTACTAGTCATCGGTATTCAAGATTTTTTTTTCAAAGATATTATTTATTGACATCTTTAGCAAATCCAATAACTATAGTTATAGGTATAGAGGTCAGCAACTCTATAATGAGTCACTACTAAGAACCAGAAATATAATAGAAAGAGTATTTGGAATTTGGAAAAGAAGGTTTCCAGTGTTGGCATATAGCTTAAGATTAAAACTAGATACAGTTTTGTCCATTATTCTAGCTGCAGCTGTACTGCATAATATTGCTAGAGATATTAATAAACCTGAGCCGCCATTGCCTGCTGATATTAATGCCATGAACTGGAGTACCCTGTTGTTTCTCATCCAAAAGATCGCATTATGTTTCAAAATCAATTAAATGTTTTATTTAATTTATACTTATTTAAAATTAAAATAAAATAAATAGGCACTGCTTGTTTATTATTATAATATACCTATAACGTTTTAAACTTTTTTTTTTAAATTTTTAAATCCGAAAGGCATTTCTTTTTCATCCTTTTAGTTGTTAATTTCCTGCTCTAATTGCTGTGCCCTATATGTCTCTTTGTTTTCAATGATGAACTTTTTTTCAGGTTCTGTATCCATATTATTCTATCTTACCATAAACTGAATCATTCGTACACGAAATAAAATCGAACTCTTAATGTTATTTTTTAGTAAAATTCCCTAGATCACTAGTTAAATTTTAAACCATAGTAAAAAAATCACGGTTGAAGATTTTGGACACTAATCCCCTGTTACCTTTTAACTTGGCAGTTTATTTAACTGATCAGTTAGAGAAAACGGTGCAAGTGGCCATAAGTTATATTAACCTGACAAATACGGTCCTGTTTCCTGTTTCCTGTTTCGCTTGCCTTCTTTTTATTCTAATCATAGATAACAAAGCCTTTCTAATTAATTTTCTAATTCTAATTTTCTATCATTACTTATCTTGTCGTATACAAGACGTTCTAAGGAAATTAATTAAGAACTAATATTTTTAATAGGTACACTAAAGACCAAAACACAACCTTTATGTTGTGGAGAAAGGAATATAAAGGCTTTCCAAAAATTATGTTTAAAAATAAATCTGTGACATTTGTGTTTTTTGGTGGTTGGTAACCTTTCAAGTTTTGACGTGGATCATTTTGCTTTACCACACTGGTTCATTTAAACTTATCATCGAAATTCAAGTTGCGCGGAAAGTTTGGTGTGTCAATAATTGCAAAAAATGGCTTTGTAAATTGGGCGCTGGAACAAAATTACAAGTTTACAGCATTAATTCCAATCTTGATGTGCCCGAACGTAACTGGTAGCATACACCCTGTATAAAATGACGTAGTGGTCACATAGATGATATTATGTTTAAATTATTATTATTTTTAAATCATAAATTTTATTAAACCCTTTATATTATGTATATTATGTACTTAGAGGAAATCTGAATTGAATTTGAGCTATATCCTGCTTTTTTTCTTCGCCATTTCTTTTTCTTTAATCATTTTGCTTGTCTTATTCTTTTTTTAGCAAAGTTTTCTCCCATGCATTTCTTGATATTCTCTAGAAATGTTAGCAAATTGTAATCTCTCTGATTTTTTCTTTCCCTTACGACGACATATTTCTGGATTCTGAAGGTAACTACTAATTCCTTGGTTCCCTGACTTCTGAAATACTTTGTTGGTTTTGGAAAACCAGCCCTAGCGGAACTTTTTATCCAGTTAAAAATTAAATATTTTCACGACCGACAAAATTGAAGACGGTCCAAATGTTTCTTTATGATCTGGATTTTTCCTTCTAAATTCTGATGTCGATTTTGGTATACTGTATTTTTTAGCAACTTTCTCATAAGATCTACCATTTTAAATCTCTTGCAGGGCATTTTCTAAATTACTTTTTGTATAATTTCCCCTTTTTAGCATTTTGAACTTCTATCCAAATAACGCTATTCTTTATCTAACTAGTAATACAATAAAAATGATGATTTAAAGAATATTATTGGACATGTGTCCAATAATAGAAATTTACATTTTTTACCAACCAGTAATGGCCATTTTACTGTTTGTTTTCAGAATTAAAATTAAAACGCTTAAAAGTGACAATGTTTAAAAATGAGGAACACATTTATACCACATACTGATCTATACACTTTTTACAAATATTTTTTTATTATAATTTAAACACAGCCCTGCTCTTACTCACCAAATTTGGAAAGTAACGTGCGAACTTGTTTGTTTTATATTGGACCCAAAATAAAGTAGTTCTATATTATTACCGACTGAGATATTTGTAATGTAATGTAATTAGGCCTGGTGCCTGTTGAAAGCACATTAAAAATAATAAAATAAAATAAAATAAAAATAATTGTACACAGCGCCACAGCGATTTAGCTCTAAGGTAACTATTTATAAAACTAACTTGTTTTAACAGTATTAATGTAAAGTGTCCGATAACTGTCTAGTTTATATATTTAATATAAAATAATCAAAATAGGTAAATATTAAAAAAACTTTAACATAAATAGTATTTGTTAAATTTTTACATATAATTTGACAAAATAAATATATTTCTTCATGCTTATAAAATTTAGCATATTGAAATTGTTACAAAAAAGTAAATAATACTGGTAACATATTAAATCCCTAATTAGGGTTAATTAATAACAAAAAATATAATAAAATACGTTTTAATAACAATACATTCTAATAACAATTTTTCATAAAATGGAATATTTGAGTTTAGTTGTTTACTACACCATAGTTTCCACTGGTTGAAAGGTATCGTATGTATGTGACAGTTTTGTTGAAATTATATAATTATAATTATTTATTAGAATATTTTTGTTTCTTATATTTTATTCTAAAACCCAACAGGAGCACACTCAACTGATGCCAATAAAAACAAATAAACTAACAACGTTTAAAACAATTATTAATCTGTATAAACAGCAAACTCAAAGCACAAGAATTTTAATCAACATAAAAATGACCGCTGTTAGAGTCTTTGCAGTGGGTTGCCTTACTTGATTTTTGGTATACAAATGAGATAAAACACTGTTTATTTAAAAACAGATCTTGTTGTGTGGATTAGTGTTGCCGTCAAGACTAACACATTCTAGACTCTTGTCTTGTCTTGTCTAGAATATCAAGACAAGACCGTCAACATATCTTGTCTAAGTGTATTAAGACAAGACAAGACCTTAGCCAAAAATCTTGATTATAATCAAGACAAGACAAGACTTTAAGCCAAAACTCTTGATTATTTTCAAGACTAGATTAAATTTAACTTTTTAAAAAATATTAAAAACACTTCATTTAATTATTATTTTTTTATTAAAAAGAATGTATATATTTTATTGAAATCTTGGGCTTATTTTCTACATATATTTGGGGCTTATCTTGGGCTTATTTTCTAGATATATTTAAAACTATTTTTGCCAATATCCTAGTAGATTGTTATTGAAGTACGTGAAGTTGGAGGCTTAAAATCGATTGTTGCTCTGGTGGTACTGTTGGTTGGCGAAAAAACACTTTCTTCATCACTACCTGAAAAATTGTCTGGTCCAGGCTCATAACTTTTATCTTCATCTATCGAATCACACGTAAAAGGATCTTCCACTTCTTCGTTAAAATTATTATTATTATTATTTTCAACGCTTTGTTTCCATATTTTAAAATGCTTCTTAGTATTAACCAGTAGTAAAACAACAAAAACTAACCTAAATAATAATAAATTTACTGCTTAATTTAGTGCAAAAACAAAACGCAAGGGGTTGTGTCTGCACCTGGCGGAAGTTATCTGTTTTGACTGATTCTAAAACAAAAGTGGAAATTACATTGCGCAGACGCATAATTTATATCTAGACTCTTGAATAATAATCTAGACTCTTAAATAATATTCTAGACTAGTTAATCTAGACAAGACCGCATTAAGCTTTTTTAATCAAGACTTAGACTTACACAACTCTTGTCTTGAAATTTTCAAGACAAGACAAGAGTAAGTAACTCTTGTCTTGTCTTGTCTAGGCGGCAACACTAGTGTGGATTGTTATCATATAATAGGGTTTTGGACCTGGTTGAGTGGTGACTCACCACTGGTAAGCTTAGGGCAATTTAGCCATTTTGCAGTGTTTTAATGAACAACAAGACTAACAAATATATTTAATAAATAAATAGCTAGACTCTTTAATAAAGGGTTTTAGAAAATGTACTTTTTCATAAATTACATTCCGCTTATTATTTTCGTAAAATCTGTTTATTATTATTTTTTTAAAACATAAATACTTTATTTGCTTATAAAAATCAAAAATTATTATAAAAAATAAATGTTGGTATTGATATTAAAATTTTTTATGCCCGTAATTTTTTATTAGTGATTGTTTTGCATTGTCACAATGCCTCCAAGTGAAACTAACCCACCCTTCTCAAGTTTGGGAATTATCCCTCCAGCAAGAAGAAGAGGAATCACTCAAAATGGGGATATTTGGTTGGAAGATCGACAGGCTTTAAGTGGAGCAGAAGGTTTATGGAGAATACATGACAAACTATATGATTTAAGTAGTTTCATTGATAACCATCCTGGAGGTCCAGAATGGCTTCAATTATCTAAGGTATTTTTTTAAAATTATTTTTATTCAATACTACTTTTTGGAAAAATTTAAAATTTTACCCATACACCCTGTCCCAATTTCTTTTAGGTACCATTTTTTAAAAATTGCAAAATTGCAGGATTTATTTAATTATTAAGGCCGCCAACGAGAGCACAGTGTTTCTTCTCTCCAGGGCGAGACCCTCCTTTTGACAAATTTGTTTTTGTTTATTTTTTTTCAATAATATAATATCAGCGTCGTTTATGAACACAAAAAATATAACAAAAACTCAGTAGAGCAGAAACACTGCGCTACCATTGATGGCTTTAAAAATTAAATAACTCCAGCAATTTTGCGAATAAGAAAAAATGGTAAACAAAGTCCCTATAGAGGCGATAACTTAATATGCCCTTGTTTATTTTACTACTCTCCAATGCGTTGTTCAAAGTCAATGATTTTTTTTTGTAAATTAATAATAAATAAAAATAAATAAATAAATTAAACAACTTTTAGACCTCGAAATTTATTTTTAAAAGTACCTAAGAAGTAGTGTGGGGTTATATAATATTTTAATTATAAAATAAAAAAAAATAGATTAAAGTTGCTTAACTGCAGTTTTATTTATTTTGTTCGAGCGCGCTTTTCCCTTTCTACATGGACTTTTTCAAATTTTTTAATAAAGGTATCTCTGGGAAATGACACAAAAATATATTTTTCACTTTAAATTACTGTATTTTCATTTTTTTAAATAATATCTACAGTTTGTTTTTTTATTATTCGGTATTTGACACATTTGATGTTGGTACTGCATATCAGTATACTTTGGTATTTTTAATATTTATATCGTATTAACGAGCAACAAGACTTGTATACTTAGTATTAACCATTGGACAAAATTTAAGTATTTAGTTACACTGTTCAAAATTTCATTACCATTTTAACACCAAATTAACACCATACATGGTCTATATCGATACAAACCAAAATGGTGTTAAATATCGTTCGTTGTTGTAAATTCAAATACTAAAATAGTGTAAATTTAAGTTTCACAGAGTACTAAAATAAATTTTACCTGGTGTAAATTGAACTCCTTTTCAGTGTTAAATTATGTTATTATGTGTTTTTGGTCAAATTAAATCATACTACACAGAAAAAAAGGAAACAGGAAGTTTCTTGACGCATTACTAGTATATTACCAGTGGTATTATTCCAGAAAATTGAACCTTCAACTCGCTAGAGATAATGTTTTTAGTGCGTTCCACCAACTTCAAATACTTCAAGTATTGATAGCTGTTTCTACCTATTTAAGGTCTCTTTTGTATCGAACAACTTGTAGTGTCATACCAAAGCAAAGGACTACTTGAGCTTATATACTATTCATGTAAGTCAACAAAGGCGAGATTTAAGAACATCACCGCCTTTACCGCGATCGGTACACACTATGCAACCAGGAATGCATGGCAAATTGTTTTAATCGTTTTAACAGAGTGCTTTAGGTTGAAGTAACTCTTACTTTACAAACAACATATTTAGTAAACTGAACCATACAGCGGGTTGGTTTCACTAAAGTTTTCTGGGTTAATTTAACCAATTTTTAAAAAATAAACTAACTATCTGGTTTAGTACCGTTAAACTAATCTTTGTTTATATTAACCTTCCCACAGTTCATTAGTTAAATGAACTATTCGTTTTTTTCTGTATAGGTGCACTTCTCAAATATTTTTATATAAACACCGTTTTGGTGTTTGCTGTACATAACATTTTCAACCATAATTCATGGTGTTTATATTAACACCACTTGGTGTTGGATTTTGACACCATTTTAAGATTACTCTTTACACCACAGATATTTTAAACAGTGTAATGTAGCCAATCATAAATTGTGGGTCCCTTGTATTTGCCAACTAAAACCCCAAAGGTTTGACACAGTAGTTTAAAATCGCATTTATATTTTTGTTATAAAGAAAAGGAGGATGTCACTGAAGGTATGTAATGGTTTTCCGGGATCTACTCCGTGTTGTCGGTTTTTGGTTTTAATTAAGAAACTTAAATCTACCAACTTTATCCTTAACTTTTGAACAAGTATATTTATCATTTGATTTTCTATAAAAATATGTTTTGTTTATTTTAGTTCATTGATCTGTTTACGAGTTTGGGTCATTCCCACGAAAAAATTAAATCCCTTTTTTATTATAACTGTATGTAAGTGCATCAATTAAACAAGTTGTTTAATATCTGTAAACATAAGAATTTTTTTCACAAACTCCAAACTTGTATAGGCCTCCAAACGGCTTTAGCCCAGGGCCCCCAAGGGTTTAATAGATTAAATTTAAGATAATGAATATTTTAAAAAGGACTGCCAAAAATTTTGTTCTAAAATTAAAAGCCATGGTTTTATTTTGTGAAATTATAGTTGACTATATTTTTAAGGGAACTGATATAACAGAAGCTTTTGAAACACACCATTTAAGCAATGGACCTGAAAAAATGTTGGTAAAATTCTTTGTAAAAGAGGCAAAAACCAAAAGAAATTCACCCTATACATTTAAAAACGATGGTTTTTATAAAACACTAAAGCAAGAAGTGATTAAAAAAATTAAATATATCCCCAAACAATCGTCAAATACAACAAACTTTTTGATAGACTCACTTCTAGTTGGAATGTTTATATTTTCAATATTGGCCTGTACTTACTGGAATTTCTATATTGGGGCATTAGCAGGAAGTTTTATGGCAATGACCTCTATTGCTGCACATAATTATTTTCACAGAAAGGATAACTTTAGAATGTTCTACTTTCACTTTTCTTTAATGCAAGTCAGGTAAATATTTAAAAAATGTCAATTTTTTAAAAATAATTTTAATTTAACTTTTGTTAGGGAATGGAGAATAAGTCACGTCTTAAGTCATCATCTTTACACAAATACAGTGGATGATTTGGAAATATCAAGTTGGGAACCGTTTATTCAATATTTACCAATCGAAAAAAAGCCCCTCGTTCGTTATGGCAGTTATATTTATGCACCTCTTCTTTGGATTACATCATTTCATTTATCTTTTATTAGAAGGTAAAATATATAAATAAATTTATTTATTTTTATTTATATTTATTCATATAAATTAATATAAATATATTTTAGCAACAGACACTAAAAATTAAGTGTTTATATATAAATTAAATTATTTTAGAATTTTGGAAATAAAAAAGGGCAATATGAGACATGCGCAACCAACAGAATGGTTGGGATTTTTATTACCTTTGGTAATGTTTTTAATTAGTGGTCAATCTTTATGGTGGTCCTTTATTATGTGGAACTACATTTTATTATGTGGAAGCACCCATTTCTTTTTAGTTGGACTGCATGCTGCTCACCATCATCCAGATATATTTCATGATGGAGATGAACCTAGGTACTCTCTAAAAATGAATTAGTCAAAAATGACTAATTTAATAGTTATTAGTGGCTGCTTTTTCACTTGTACGATGGTTAACCCCCATGGTATCCCAAAATTTAACAGCCAATTCTTATGTAAAATTGTCCCCTGAATCCGGAAATGTCGTCAAAAGTTTAAAAAGTAGAACAGTTTTTGAGATTATATCTCAAAAACTGCTCCACTTTTATAATTTTTGACGGTATTTTCGGATTCAGGGGACAATTTTACATAAGAATTGGCTGTTAAATTTTGTGATACCATGGTATTCCATGGTTAACCATGGTACAAGTGAAAAAGCAGCCACTAATAACTATTAAATAAGTCATTTTTGACTAATTCATTTTTAGAGAGTATAGTTCGTATTTTAGCTAAAAATTCACTTTTGTATAATTTCTTTTTCAAATACTTTTTTAGGAGCAAAGATGATTTAGATTGGGGATTAAGTCAACTAGATACAGTTATGGATCGCAAAGAAATAAATGGTTCGCATTTTCTTGTATTAACAAATTTTGGAGATCACGCCTTACATCATTTATTTCCCACATTGGATCACGGAACTTTGGAACATCTATATCCAATTTTCGAAGATGTTTTAGAACGATTTAATGAAAGAACTAGCTTTAGATGCGTATCACAAGTTGACACTTTTACAGGAAGTTATCAACAAATCTCCAGAATTTCCCCAAACAAAAATCCACCAAATTTAAAAAAAATCTAATATACCTTTTTTAACTTGTTATTGCAGTTTATTTAATTTAATATTAAAGTTAATTTTAAGTATAAGATTAACACTTAACATTTAATTTTACTATTACAAATTTCAGAAGTATAAATAAAATTTGAATGGACCTTTTCTTTGTTTCTTGTCCTGTACACAAAATATAGAGTTTTATAATAAAGGCGCCATTATACATGATTAAAAATTATTTTAAATAATTTTCTATAAATTAATAGTACAAAAGCCTATCAAGTTTTGCATGAGTCATTTTTAATATTACCCATTAAGTAAAAGTATTAAGTAAAAAATAAACATCGATATTTGTAATTAATTTTAATGTTTCTCATAAAAATTTGATTGCCTCGCATAGATGCTTTCTTATATATTTAGAAACTTTTTTACGTACATCACAATTATCATCATAAATAGAAACAATTAATTCTAGTCATAATAAATTTATTTTATTTGAAACGCTATCTAAACTTTTGCCGGAATTTTATTTTACCTCAAATCAAATCAAATCAAATAATTTATTTCTCTTCTACAAAAATTACATAGTTAACCTATAAATACAAAATAATAAAAATAAGATAAGCCCAAGAAGTTGCAGATTAATTAATAAGCCCTATACCTATTTACATTTAAATTTTTTGCGTGTTTTACTTAAATTTACATTTTAATAATTGAAGGATCGTCTTCGGCTGCTGACGATAATGACCAAAAAGTCTTTAGGGAGACTTCAGTGATGGTCACAAGGTTTTTCTTCTAAAAGATGAAGACACTGACGATAATGACCAAAAAGTCTTTAGAGAGACTTCAGTGATGGTCACAAGGTTTTTCTTCCAAAAGATGAAGTCCTTAAAGGTTTATCTCTTACATCTACGTTACCCTATGACGTAATATGAAAAAAGTTTGTTACCGCGAACCTGTCAATTGGTAGGCATGTTTCAGGTATAAGGATTATAAAAGCAGAACATATTTGTAGGCACATAAAATTTGGAACGTAAAAGGCATTTATTTTCCGGGGGCATATTTTAAAATAGCCAATGTATATAAAATGTATTATTATTTATTTTAAAATAATAAAATGCGTGTGTCCAAATTTCCTAAAATCAAAAAAAGAAATAGTATACACCTGTATATTACAATGAATGCATGCATTCTGCAGAAATTCAAAATATGGTTAGGTAATAAATATTTTTTTATAAAGACAGTATAATTCAATTATTCAATTTTATTTCTTTACATGTTGGGTGGCCTGAACTATAAACAAGGCTCTTTTATCATTTATTGTATCAGCTTTTCGTATATTTAGCATTCAAAGCATTTTAAACTTATTTATTTTTCGGGGGAATTTTTAAAATAACTGATTCAAAATAAATTTATCTGCTTAATATTTGAAAAGAATAAATACAGGATTCTAAAAAAATCTTGGGTAATAAAAATAAAATAAGTTTAATAAGTTTAAAATATAAATGAACAGGTATTCTGGCAGAATAATTCTGCATTAACTAATGCAAATATTTTTATTTAAGTTGAATGAAATATTAATCAAAATAAAAAAGGGATAGAACATGTGTAACTTCAACTCGAGGGCTATAGCGAACGGCAGCTTATCAGTGGTGAGTTGGGTCGATGGGTAAATATTGTTTTTCGATATTTATGTGCATTTTACTAAACGCAAATAAAAGATTGGGCGCCAGTGTCTAAAGTAGGCCAGTTGTTAAAATCCAATTAAGCCAGACACAAACTTAATAGTGGATAAGGGCGGTTATAAAAAGTCAAATTTTAAAATATAAATTCTAATTAACTTCTACGACAGTTGTTAACGTGATGGTGATTGTATATGTTATGTTGAAGACATGTATTTAATAAAAAATTTAATTACCTATAATGAGTAAAGTTAATGTTAAAGTTATAGATCTATAATATAAAGAGGGTGGCGAAACTAGAATATTTACATTTGACATAAAAAACATAGGTACGACCTGACTACTGGCCTCTACCCAACATAAGGCATGGCTTGAGTCGGTGTTAGTGGCCTACTGGAATTGTAGAGCTGTTGGCGTTATAGTCTTGTTGGATTCCATAAACGTGGTAGAAACCCGTGCTGTTAAATTAATTCTTTACAATCTTTATAGAATGTAGTTAATTTCACATTAAAAACTGATATTAGAATGGTCATATTCCGCAATAACCGTAGAAAAAATGTTATATAACGGCTATCATCATTTTCGATACTCTGGGGATGGTTCGACAGAGCAACGCCAACATTTTTACAAATAATCAGCTTAATATGGCCATCGACAGGGTCCAACTTCCAATAGGATATGGAAGAATCATCATACGCAGAATTGTGCCAGAAAAAATACGATATCGTAGCTGTTATTAATGATGATAATTATGGTTCAGCCTATGCTTTAGCTTTGGGTATAGCCCAACCTTTTAACCTTTTAATCTTTTAACGCGGTAGAGGTCTTGAAGACATTAATTTTTTTTTAAATTATAAAAAAAAAGATTTTACGATTGTTGTGTACAATAATAGAAGGGGTAGTGAAAAATATTTTAAGGGGGAGCCAAAAGACACGTAAAACAATAAATTTAATTTTAGAAGACAACCATTATACATATAACATATTTTGTTTAACTGCCGCATTTTCGACGGGTTATTTTTGCGAGCCATGTCAAACATGTTATGGCAAAAGAGCAAAGCATGTTAAATGTCCTTAATTATCATAATTCATAATTGGGTCCGACGTGAAGGATATAACGTGTAAAGATTGTAAACGAACATTCATAGGTATTGCCTGTTTAAATATACCATAAAGGGAAACTTTGTTCGAAACTGCATAGATGTTTGTCATGTTTAAATAGTTACTGGACAAAGGATAAACATACATGCGTTGACAAATACTGCCTCACGTGTTTTTGCCTTAAACATATATGTTATAAGTAGCATTATAGTGACGAAAACTGACATCACCACTTCAAATGAGTGGCAATAACGTTTAAATAACTAAATCTACGACGATACAGTTAAAATATCTCCATATTATATTAGCATAGTTGTAATCATGTAATTTGCACCAGCAGAATATACTTTATAGTTTTAGAACTTTTTGATGTATTAGTCTGGTTTTTGAAATTTATGACCACTTTTGACACCACCTTAAAGTTGTCTAAACTTTAGAGTGGATTATGAATAGTAACTGTAACCATATCACATCACTTAAGTATTACTTTGAAGTGGTAGTAGTAGTAAAGTGGGTATATCAATTTTGGCAACGTTTTCGGAACTTTTCCCAAACCTTGAATGTGGCAATACTTAATTATATAATTGCGGTGGTGATTGCCACGTTCTTGCTACATGCTTAAGTGATTTCCACGTTTCGTATAAAATTACCACTTTAAAGTTCCCTTCTTCAAAAGCAGACATGTTTACAAATAATCGCCATTGTAGGAAATAAATGTGTAGTTTTAAACAAATAATTCTGATTATTACCGCACCAAATTTAACACGTTAATACATATTTATTGGTTTCAGGTGATCAGAAATAATAAATATAATATTTTAGGCCTCTAGATAAATAATTTTCATATCCGCTAAGTTTATAGATTATTTTATTCTTTTTTATTACCACATATTTTAACAGGGCGTGGTTATATTTCAAGCTATGTTTAACAGTAAAATTTAATTCGTGTTAAATTTATGTCTTTGGATTATTTTAATTCTAGTTATTATTTGCAAGTTGTACTCTTACAATATTATAATTCAGTGTTAGTTTAATATCCAGTGAGAGAAAGCAAAGATAATAAAATAAATAATATGCTGTAAAGATACGGGATAGAAAGTAAAGATTAGTAAAGTTACGATTAAGTTTTGGCCACTATACTTCCACCGTGGCGTGGTAGATTTTGGCACACCCATATCTCAGTTATTAGACATGGGACCCACATCAAATTTATATGAGTTTATAATGACATTATATAGACAAGTTCTGCGCAAGCAGAATTTAAATTAAAGTTTGTGAAAAAAAGTTAGTTTTTAAGTGCAACCCCCAGCCTCCTGCCCCTCCAAATTAAGATAATTCAAATTAAAGTGGTACAATATTTAATTCACTGAAGTTTATCGGCAAATTTCAAATTTTATTAAAAAAATTCAAGTATTACAGATTTTATACCATTTCAAATTTTTTTAAATTTAGTAAAATAAATATTAAAAATTATAAATGGTATAAAACATGTAATTCTTGAATTTTTTTAATAAAATTTGAAATTTGTCGATAAACTTCAGTGAATTAAATATTGTACCACTTTAATTTGAATTATCTTAATTTGGAGGGGCAGGAGGCTGGGGGTTGCACTTAAAAACTAACTTTTTTTCGCAAACTTTAATTTAAATTCTGCTTGCGCAGAACTTGTCTATATAATGTAATTATAAACTCATATAAATTTGATGTGGGTCCCATGTCTAATAACTGAGATATGGGTGTGCCCAAAATCCACCAGCCGCCACTGCCTCCACGTTATAGTAACTTAATCACAACGTGGTATTAACGTGTCTGTATACAATTCAAGAACGTTGTTCAATCGTAACTGACACTAAAAAAGTGTTCCCCATTTTAGTTACTTCCACGTAATAAAACCGTTTCTACCATGTGGAAGAGATTTTGGCAATATACTTTACAGTTCCAAGTATAAGTGGCCAACATGTTTTAACCACTATAAATGCTACTAGTATACTAGGTACGATTTGTGATAAAGCCAAACAATCCATCGAGACGATTTTTGGTTTGATTTTTATGACTTTCAGTGCATGAAAGAAAAGGAGTATAAAATATTTATTACAAATTTTTACATTAACACGTTGGCTGCCAATGTGGTTCTCCCCAGTTTTTATCCTGGGGCCGCGAGAAGCAACTTATGCACCTCAGACTTGACTAAGATTTTCAGTCAAGGCTGAATATTCGCGCCGTGTGAAGCTACGTTTGTTACTTGGCGACGTGTATTTCATATGGAAGTGATATTTTATGGCTGTAAGAACAAAAAATCGTCATTGGCCTGTTATATTGAGTATCACCTGTGGCTTCACATGAGTCTTAATTTGGATACAATTTTTTAGCATTATCTGAGTTTGGCCATTGGGCCAAAATTTTTTGTAACATTGCGGCAGCCAACGTGC